TGTAAAGTTTTTTTAAAAAAATATGAAAATTCTAATATTTACTATTCTGCTTCTAACATATGTTATATGTTAAAGGGTGTGGGAAACATGGAAGAAATGTGGTCACCACAAGAATGTGTGTTGAGACAATGAAACGTTTCAGCCAAAAATGTCTCCATGGAAAATGAGTCAGTATGGTTCATGCCTGTCCAATAGCCAAAAGTTGCTTACAAAGCAAAAAGTTTCAAGTGGAGAGCCATAGTAGCTAAATATTTCTAAATAGCCTAGCCACACATCATATAAAAAAAACATCAATCATCCTAGGCTGTTAGCTATTTTGACTTGGGGTTGTTTAAAAATAGTAATACTCAGAATCCTAATAAAACCTAAGTACTCTGAATTTTGACTGTAATTTTATGTAATTCAATTGTTCGTGATAGCCTTATCTTTTCTGAATAGCATAGAGGCATGAAGGGAGAGAAATAGATTTGAGTTGTGGGAGTTACATTTCATGTATCTATTGGAATATACTAAAATCCGGACTACAATATATTTGATTACAGGTAATCCTCAATTTACAAGGATACTTGGATATGCCTATTAGAAGTCATGATAGTTTTTAAAGCAGGTCACCTATGTAACCAATCTAATTTTATGACTTATTTTGTGCCTGCTATTAATCAAATGTTGCTGTCATAAAGTGAACATTGTGGTTGTTAAGCAAATGACCTCTTTTGCTGAAAACAAAAATATATGTGACTGGGGGGGGGTGAGAGACAGGACATCAGAACCAAATCATGAGAACCGGTCATAAGTCAAGGACTATTTACTATTAGGAAAAAAATAGTACCGTAAATGTCGGCGTATAAGGCGACTTCTGCAAGCGTTGAAATCGGCGCCAAAGACAGGGGTCGTCTTATACGCCGAGTCGTCTTATACGCCGGAAATACTGGTAGTTTCCGGCGTATAAGACGACGTTCTAGGAATGCGGCCCGGCGATAAAGACGGGGGTCATCTTATACGCCGGGTCACCTTGTACGCCGGCATATACAGTATCTCTGGTCCAGTCCTCATTTAACTTGTTGCTACATATATCAAATAGAAGAATACATACTATGCATCTTTACAAGTACCAGTGTACTTCAGTAATTTTATTTCAACATTACTTGGATTAATTTAAAATCTTTTTTTTATCTATGCAAAGCTTAATTTCATGCTTGAAGATTATCTTTTTCAAAGAGAAGCATTCTGATTAAATCTCAAGGGTATTAGCATTTCCTAAATTCTTAGGACTAAAAAATAGCAACTGAAAGTTGTGTTCTGTTGCAATATATTAAGAAAAACAGTAAATGCATGTGTCATAAGTTCTGAATGAAATTTGTTAAAAGAAATTTTCTGACATTAATTTACAAAGTTATGGTAGGTCATCAAAATTTGTTGAATAATCCAGATAATGCTTTCTAAGGCTCTATTCATTACTAATATCTCTGTTTAGGAATTTGAACCAGATTGGTTGTAGTTTACATGCAAGTACTTATACTGAATATAATGTAATGGAATATCTGTTGGGGTAGAACTGAAGAAACCAAGCTTAGTTATTAGTACCAGTCTACCACAAGACTGATATGCTGATAATTAAATTTGAAGAAGAGGTACAACACTGATCTCAAGTTCTTGAAGGAATATGCAGTATACTTTTAAGGAATAAACCATAAGTGATATTGATAAAATTATATTTGAAAAAAATCAGGTCCCAAACCCAAGAAAGCCATATTTAAAACCTACTAGAACCATTCCTTTAATATAGTCAAATTTGCACAGGGATGTTTCTGACAATTACTTCCTGTCTAAAAGAGACCCATTGAAACAATGAGATGCTTACACAAAAGTATTTTTAATCTTACTACATATTCTGCTTATGTAAGATTATTTCTTCTTTTCTTTGTCTGCAGACTGTCCACATCTATTTTGATGGCCACCCAAGTTCAACAAATAGTCTAACCATTTCTGCAGTCCATTATTAGTTTTACAGTACTCTGGGAACATTAGGTCATATCCCATCTCACTTTTCCTTTGGGATTCCCTGTCTTACATAAATATTTTTCTCACAATAATCCATACTGGTAGCAGGAAATAGTTTCCCTTGTGAACATGAATAGGTACCTAATGTAACTACTGTTGTAAAGAGTAAGGAACCATTCAGTAATTAAAAAAAGAGATTGTTCCTCATTATAAATACTCAGATGCAAGGACTAAGGAAGCTTAACTTTATCAGATTAAAAAAAAAAAAAACTTTTCCCCTTCCATTCATTCCAGAAGCAAATTTAGCCTTCCTTGTCTTTCTTCTTTCTTTCCTGACCTCTCTCTCTCTCTCTCTCCCTCCCTCCCTCCCTCCCTCCCTCCCTCCCTCCCTCCCTCCCTCTTTATTTAGAATTTAGAAAATAATAATAAGTGATTGTATTAAAATTAGTTTAATAAAATCCTTATTGAGCACCAAATGTATATGGCGGCCAATGTAAAATACAGATAGCTTTCCATACCCACTGACAATATGTACTTCCCCAGGGCAAAATGCACAGACTTAACTACAAATATTTTTCAAGCTTAACCTGAAGTTTATTTACACAGCTGGAAGTCACTGAACCTTCCTTTCCCTTTCTTCCTCATTCCACACTTGACCCCTGCCTCTACTTATTTTAGGCCTTTCTGCTTAATAAAATATTGGGGATCTTTGAAGTAGGATCTCTGAGGTAGAAATATAAATTATGTGACTTCATATTGATTATGACTTTATAGATTCTTTTCTTCAGCTGTTTCCAAAATTTGCCTTTTTGTTTACCCTAATACTCAAGGCTGAATTCTATTAAAAACAAAATACAACAATTTGAAATATAACATTAATAATAAAGTTAATTAACTGTTAAAATCCTAGAGAAAGAAATGAACCCTTTTCAGGTTTTCTAAATAGTAAGAAAGTGAGAGCTAAACACAATTTCTGAAGCGGTGCATTCAGCCTCCCTGAAGCTATGCAAGAGACGATCCTTTCTTAAAGGATACATATATGAGTTTTTGTCATTAGGGACCTATTCAGACAGATGTGCAGATTCCTACAGATTTGAACTTTGAGATAGATTTAAAATGGGAAAGACAGACACTTAATGAAGCAGGTCTGAAACACTGTTGGACCATAAAACTCAATAGTAATACCACCAATTGTCCTTGATAACCAGCAGAGAACCATTGTAGTTTCTTTAACATACCCATGATGTAATCCCTGTAACTTCTAATGGTTAGCAGCTGATTTGGCATTCATTTCAACTTTTATACAACTATCAAGGATAGTTCCATATCATCAGTGAGGTAATAATTAGGATGAAATGCAAATCCAGGCATGGATAACAAAGATAACAACTCAGAATGGGACCTGATTCTAACCATAATGATGCATAATGGTACAGTTCCTCACTGTAGCTACCATCTTGAAATCCAGGAGGATCAAGGAGTGTCCCCAAATTGTAGACCTATTCTTTTTCAGAATTTAAACTGAATATCAGTTCCCATGTTCAAATTTTTAATTATCAATAGTATCCATTTTGTCTGGGTTTTCATTTCCATTTGTTCTCCCACAACTAAGTGATTATAGAACTTAAATACTGTATAAGAATGCTAATTACTAAGCTGAACTTGAATGACAAGAAGCAATAGAGCTGAATGTCAACAGCATACTGATGGAATCCCACTCCAAAATTCTGAATAAGCTTCCTCAACAGGAAAGCCCTCTGTCCTGATCCATATTTAGACTTAATTTTCATATTGCTATTGCTTTTAATAGCATTAGTTAGACTAACTTTTGGAAGCATGATTCTGAGTACCTTTTGTATTGAAATATCATATATCTTAGATTACTTTCTAATAATTGGCTTAACTTAATTGTTTTATGTTTTGTGATCTCCTTATGGATGTGGGTCTGTCAACAGTGATCAGCACATGTGATGCCTGCTATAATAGAACCTCAGCTAGGTAGAACTTAACTTAACTTAAGTTTGAAATAGGAATAGCTAATTAAAATACTAAATATATTTGTAGTGAATGCATCTCATGAAGCCCTAATTAACTATAGGATATAACTCTTTTATAAGATCCATTTCTAGTCTTTTTGTTGCAATATAGTGTTGATTTGGTATATTATAGCTAGTCTTAGGCATGCCATTTAAAAATCTATATTTGTTATTTTAATTAATAAGATTTGTGTGTATTTGTGTTATTTATAAGTTTATATTCCCTATGTATTTATTTGTGAATGTCAATTTTTTTATCATTCTTTAGTAGTCTCTGTTAATAATCAAGATAAGGAAATTTACATTAGTTCCACTTAGTCCATAATAAGTGTCGACATGAGTTTTTATGTATAATAACTATAGGGATACAGGTTAATTAATTCTAGGGTAAAAAATCTATGTAGACTAGCCCTTGGGAAAACTGTAATATTTAAGTGCAAGTTATTAAATTATCTTCATGAAAGTAGCTAGTAAGGCAAAATTTTCCCTAGATGTTTATTTTAAGAATGCAAGCTAATTTTAGGTCAATACAATCTCTGTAATGATTGTCATTTCCAGTAGTTACATAGGATTGTTTTGTTCAGTTGAAAAAAGAAAAAAAAATGAAATTAATTGGCTATGCCATTCAAATTATAATGCTGACATCTTTAATATTTGAGTTCTAATTCCCCACCCTCCTTTTTAACCACTTGGTAATTATTTTGTTCTCATTAAATTGAGCGAAAGGGTAGTGATGAGTTTGTCTTCCCATCAAATTGAAAAGTGGGATGTTGCTAACCTTATCAAATTTGTACAGTATGACTTGACAGTCATTGGTTAAACCCATAAAACTGCCTAGAATTGCCTAGAGATTATAGAGATAACATAAATAATATTGAAAGTATTCTCTGTAGACTGTTATGGATGTGAATAATGGCCTCCTTGTGAATTCTAATTACCTTTTTTTAAAACAAAATTATTAAGGTTCTCCAACCAGAGATGTGGGGCCATCATTAGGCCTGAAGAAATCCAGCTCTTTAGAAAGTTTGCAGACAGCAGTTGCTGAGGTGACATTGAATAGTGACATTCCGTTCCATCGTCCACGACCACGAATAATCCGAGGACGAGGATGCAATGAAAGTTTCAGGGCAGCAATAGATAAATCATATGATAAACCTGTTGCTGATGAGGATGATGAAGGAATGGAAACCTGTAAGTAAATCATATAAATTCCTTTCTTTAAATTCTTAAAATCTTCTGTAGTTTAGAATTAATTTTTTGGGGGAAACCCAATAGATGCTTTAGGTTTCATAATAGAATTATAATCATTAAGTCACAGGACATAATTGTTATACTAAGTCTGGCTTTGGTAAAAAGTGCATAACATACTTTATATGTATATACTTTACCATATATTTTATAAATAAATACATAAAATTCTGGGTAGCTCACCTCGTGAATAACTTAATTCTTGGGACATATGCCAAGAAGAGCACCAAGTACTATCAGAAAAGTAGAAATGACTGGAAATATTTGGTTTTGTTTACATAGCCATCCATCTCTGGGCTGAACTTGACAGAGTATAGTATAAACACAATTGCTGTTTAGAGAATTAGAAATCACTTCTTTATAACCCTCTCCTCTCCACTCCCTTTTTTACTTATTTTCTTATTTTTTTCTTTCAAAAAAAATCTTTTAAGAGTTTCTTAATGAAAAATATGTTTTTGTGTGTATGTGTGTGAGAGAAATAATCAGTTTTAGTTTGATACAAATAATTCGATGTACTTATATTTTGAGGAACTCTTTCAATAAGGAATGAGCTATCTCCTGAATTTTGTCTATTCCACCTTCTTTAAATTCCTTAAACTCTTTTGTGTATTTGTCTTTACACAAAGGAAAAAAACAGTCCAACCTATCAAAAACAGTACCATAAAAATAGATTAGAAATACAAGTTAATATAGGCAAGAAAATGGTAAGTGAGCACCTATCCAGCCTAGACAAGTTCAGATCACCAAGACCAGATGGATTACACCACAAGGTTCTTAAGGAACTGGCAGATGTGACCTCAGAACCACTGAACTATATTTTTCAAAGATCCTGGAATACTGGGGAACTACTAGAGGACTGGAAAAGAGCTGATGTAGTTCCCATCTTCAAAAAAATGGGGAAAAATAGATCCATGAAACTACAGACCTATCAGTCTGACCTCAATACCTGGGAAGATTCTGGAAAAGATAATCAAACAATGAATCAGCGAACACTTCGAGGCAAACAAAGTCATTACCAAAAGCCAACATGGGTTTGTCAAAAACAGATCATGCCAACCAAATCCTATTGCATTCTTTGACCAAGTGACAAAATTAGTGGATCAGAGGAATGCTGTGCATATAATTTACTTGGACTTCAGTAAGGCATTTGATATAGTAGATCACAACCTACTACTTGATAAGATAGAAAAATGTGGGTTAGATAGCATCACCACCAGATAGATTCGTAGCTGGCTGACTGGCCGTACTCAGTGTATGCTCCTCAATGGAACTGCATCTACATGGAGGGAAGTGTATAATGGGATGCCCCAGGGCTCTATTCTAGGCCCAGTGCTTTTCAACATCTTCATTGACGAGGGGATAGACGGGGAACTCATCAAATTTGCAGACAACATCAACTTGGCAGGAATAGCCAACACTCCAGAATATAGGCTTAAGATACAGGAGGATCTGAACAAACTGGAACACTAGGCACTATCTAACAAAATGAAATTCAATGTTGAAAAAAGTAATTTTCTACATTTAGGCAAGAAAAACCAAATGTACAGGTGTAGTATAGGAAGTACCTTGCTCAATATTACCAACTGTGATAAGGATCTTGGAGTCCTAGTGGACAATCACTTAGATATAAGCCAGCAGTGTGCTGCAGCTGCCAAAAAAGCCAACACAGTGCTAGGCTGCATTAACAGAGGGATAGAATCAAGATCACATGAAGTATTAATACCACTTTACAATGCCTTGGTAAGACCACACTTGGAATAATACATCCAGTTTTAGTCACCACCATGTAAAAAAGATGTTGAGACTGTAGAAAGAGTACAGAGAAGAAGAACAAAGATGATTAGAGATCTGGAGGCTAAAACATATAAGGAACGGTTGCTGGAATTGGGTATGTCTAGTTTAATGAAGAGAAGGACGAGGGGGGGCATGATAGCAGTGTTCCAATATCTCAGGGACTGTTACAAAGAAGAAGGAGTCAAGCTATTCTCCAAATCGCCTGAATGCAACGGATGGAAACTAATCAAGGAGAGAAGCAACCTAGAACTAAGGAGAAACTTCCTGACAGTTAGAACAATTAATCAGTGGAACAACCTGCCTCCAGAAGAGGTGAATGCTCCAACACTGGAAGATTTTAAGAAGAGATTGTCTGAAATGATATAGGGTTTCCTGCCTGAGCAGGGAGTTGGACTAGAGGACCTTCAAGGTCCCTTCCAACTTTATTATTATTATTGTTGTTGTTGTTGTTGTTGTTATATTAAAAATAAAAGTTTCCTCTGTCAGATCATTTCCAGTTAAGGGGCAATACTCATCTCTGTTTCTTAGTTGAGGGAGCAACTGTTGTCCGATGCTTCCATGATCATGTGACCAGCATGACTATATGCCAAAGTGTATGGAGAGCTGTTACCTTCCCACTGTGGTGCTTATTTACCTACTCACATTTGCATGCTTTCATACTGCTAGGTGGGCAGGAGCTGAGGCAGTAAATAGGGGCACATCCCATGGCATTCAGTTCTTCAACCTGGGCTGTCAGCTTTCCAGCTGACAAGTTCAGTGTCCTTAACTGCTAAGTCATTGCACCTCCATCTTATAAAATTGGAATTGGAAATATTATTGTTCCTTATAATATTATCGAATTGGAAATATTATGTTCTCCTCTATAATAGCAACAGGAATGATTTCACTTTATTTCTTTCCAGAAATAATTAGACAGTGACCCAAAATGACTTAAGTCTGAAGTCCTAGAATCCTGATTTTTTTTCTGCACTGGTCACTTCAGTGTATGCCATCACACTGGTTAGGTCCCCTAAGTCTTTATATGTATAAGAATATAACACAGTCCTTTAGATCCAAGTTGGAGTGTAACATAATGGTCACACTGAAGTGCATTTCACAATTTTCATTGTGGGCTGGGCATCAGGGAGTTAAAAGGTTGACTGAGACGTCACTAGTTAAATTACATTCAGGATTTTTTAAATTCTTTTTATTCTTTCTCGGCCTATGTGCTTTGTATGTGTATGTGTCTAAAATAATAATTTAGAAATCATCCTTGTCTCATTGTGAAACCAATGCAATGCATTACTGGAAAATTGCTGGTTTTATAATCCTGAATATTTCTCTTTGCCAGCCAACTGACATTTTTTTTGTTTGTTTTGAAGAAAGAATTACAATGAATTGTTTATAAAGAAATCTTTATGATGTCGTATTGGGAGTTCTAAAATTATAGCATGGAACATGTGATAGAGGAGTACACTGATTCTACAAACATAATATAATTGCTCCCCTTAGAAGAATAAGCTATTCATAATCTTAAACAATGTATGAAAGATAGGTTTGGTGGGAGGTACGTATAGATTTTAAGAACTATAATCAGAAAGTCAGAGATGACTGCTTGGGATATTCTGATCATATGAATCATAGTGCTTGTTTTCAAACTCTTGAAAAGGATGACAAGAAACAGAACCCATTTTTAGCATGTGTAGTCTGAGAACAAGCCATTTGAATCTGAATAAATTGGCAAAGCTTTCTTATCTCTCTTAATTGCTGGAGCTTTGGCTGGTATTAAGTAATACAATAAGCAGTCTAGACATTCAACTATGAAACAGTTTCATATTCAGTAATTATGTTTTCTTATATGCATTTTGCTTGCTTTATGGAGTAATTAGAAAAATAGATTCAGAAACTTCGGCCTATGGTCCTGTTCAATAGAAATTATGTGCACATTTGCATCATATTCAAAAGGGCAATCTGATTTAATATTCTATCTGCAGTTATATGTGAATCTATTAACCAGGACTATTTTTGTCCTTTTATTTTTATTTAAAACAAGGGTGTGTTTTAAAAAATACTGCTTAGAATGAAGAGATAATTATTGAAGTTACATAATTAATTTTCAATATAACATTAGTAAAAGATACCAAACACCGTACAAAGAGTTGTTTTCATGATATAAAAGAAGTATAATTTTTGAGTTTAGTGTAAAAACCTCTACTCTGTTAATATTTATAAATGTTAAAAAAGAAGAAAAAGAGAAAAGCTCATCCTCTGATTAGGAATAGATGTATTGAACATAGCTGGCTTATACCATGCTTTCATTTGTCCTTCCATCACCTTCTCATGACATGTAAGAATTGGCTATAATTTTCAAGATTTTACTTTAAAGTCTTTTTTTGTACTATATTACACTATACTACACTACACTACACTATACTATATTATACTATACTAATAATCTGTGTGTGTGTATATATATAAAATTACATATATTATATCTTACATATCTAACGTATCTAAATTATATATATATTCTTATATTTTAGGCAGAGACATTGAAAGTTCAAAAGGGTTCATAAATTGTTAAGTAGCAGTATCGTCCTCTTTATACCTTTTCAAAATATCCCCCCAAAAATTAAGGGAGATATCATATCATAGAAAATATATATTCTAAGCATATAATATACATGCTTGGTGTGTGTAAATATGCATCTTCTCATTATCTTTCTGGCCCCTTCTGTAGCTTTTGATCCCATTAACCCATTTGAAAGGATTTGTGGATCAGAAGCAGTGCTTCTATTCCTATGTAAGCAGTTCAGTTAAATGTTCATGGGGAACACTCAGGAAAAGCCTGGTGAATAACTGGATGGAACAAAGCAGGTTCAGATTGAATTGCAGCATAAGTACTATCTGGTTGAAGGGTAGTTTCAACTTCATCTCTGGGTGCAGCTGCATTTCTTTGAAGAAATTTATACATTTATACAATGTGAAGACACTTCTGGACTCACCTGGTAGAGCCACAGGGTAGAGCTGTGACAAAGAAGGCTTTTGACCAGCTTTGGTTGGTTTCCAGTTGTGAGTGTTTGAACTACTGCATTTGCCCCAAATGGTTCTCCCTTGAATATGACTTGAAAGTTATACTTACTACAGAACCCTCTGCTTGCCTGATAATTGAAGCTAGATCAGTATTACAGGGATTTTCTGGTTGCCAATTTCCAAGTCCAATTCAAAGTGATTATTATTTATAAAACATTTTATGGCACGAGTTCTTGCTACTTTTGGAATCATCTGCTACAAATAAAATCTGCCCCCCTAGTACATGCAGGGCATGTAGTTGGCTCCAATCTACTGGAGACTAAAAAGAAAGCAGTTGAGAGAAGAATCTTGGTCATAGCCTCTCGTTTTTGAAAAGTTGTCCCTTAACAAATAGAATGGTTTTAGCCTGCAAAATAATTTATGGTCCTTGTGCTTGAAACTTTTTTTTTTTTTTTTTAAGAAAAGGCACTTCCTGTTCTTTCCCTCCATCTCTTGCTAAAATTTCCTTACTCTTTTAGTGGAAGAAGACACAGAAGAAAGTTCACGATCTGGTAGAGAATCTGTGTCCACATCTAGTGACCAACCATCCCATTCTCTAGAAAGACAGATGAATGGCAGTCAGGAGAAAGGGGACCGAAAAAAAATTGGGAAGGACAAGAAAAAAGATCGAGATAAGGAGAAGGATAAAATCAAAGCCAAGAAAGGAATGCTCAAAGGTCTTGGGGACATGTTCAGGTAGGAATTGCAGAAAAGCCTTAATGTTTATCTCTCATTGTGTTTTGCTGTTCATCATAACATTATTTATAGCTCACTATCCATTTCCAAAACTCAAATACTGTGGATATAGTTAAAATGTGTTATTGAATATTTTGTCACCATTTACCATTGCAGCCTTACAAATATTATTTTATTAGAGTCCAATCTATTTTTCTGAAATTGGGACTTCTAGACAAGGGACAATATTTTCACAAAGCAAAAGGAATTCTGTACTAACATGGTTTCTTCAGAGGAGACAAGGGAAGGGAAATGATGTCCTGTGGCATAAAAAATAAAGTGTGTTCTTTACACAATGAGGCAATGATTCATGTTTCATTATACTAGTATCATCATGGTTTATAGCAGAGATAACCCTGGATAATCCTAGATATATTATGAAAATGTATTACTAAAAGGCTACCCATGGCCAAGTTCATATTTCCATAAATGGCTTCAAATATTACCATGGGAAAATATGTAATATATTGAGATTTCTGCAGTTTGGCAGTTTGATTCTCACTGGCTCAAGGTTGACTCAGCCTTTCATCCTTCTGAGATTGGTAAAATGAGGACCCAGATTGTTGGGGACAATTTGCTGATTCTCTAAACTGCTTAGAGGGGGCTGTAAAGCACTCTGAAGCAATATATAAATCTACGTGCCATTGCTATTTGTCAAGAGTGGCATAAATTATGCTTTCTGAGAAAGCACAACTCTCCATTCAGGCTTACTCTCAATTGGTACCTGTATCCTGTGAGTCTGAACAGGTGCTAAATGTGGGCATTTATGAAGCCCACTCTAAATTTCTTCTTGAATCTTCAAATTCCCCAAATTATGTATTCAGTTGCAAAACTTTCACTGATGTGTTAACCACCTTTTGCGTTGTTTGGTTGCGTCACTGAAGGGCTTGCACTAGTAAAGAATGTTAAGAAAAAGAAGATGAGAAACACTATTGGTCAGAGAACTACAGCTTATTTCTTGGAGATAGGTCAGAGAATGCCATATAATCTTCTTATGTTATTTTGAGAAATATGAAGCCCTGAGGACCAGGACAGAGATGGTCCTATTGCCAGAAATCCCAGATCAGGGTCTATAAAAAAATTATTTGTGCTTGTTATAAGGTATTCCATTTCAGACCATTTATTTAAAAAGCTTAATAAGGGTGAAATTATTTTTGCACACTGTATAGTAAACTTATATTTAAGAATTTTTGCATGGGCCAAATAAGAAATTTCATTTAAACTTGAATACTAGTCTTTTAGAAACCAATCACTGCTTTGTGTAGGACAATATACATCAGCAGAAGGCAAAGTGATGCCTAACACCTATGTATGACCTCTAAATACCTCCTCCACTTTTCCTTTTCTGCTTTTTAGGATCTCCCAGAATCAAAACATTTTAATCCTTTCTTTACCATTTGGGGAGGAGGACTTCTTTAAAAGACAAAATAAGCCCTCTCCAATTAGGTTGCTCTGTCTTTTTTTCATTTCAAATTGTGAGAAAAGGGTGATACCACATTCACTCTAAGTTCTTTCTGTCTTATACTATATATATTCTTCTATCGGTTAAAAAACAAAGGTTGTGCTATTTTCTGTAGGAGGGGTCCCCAACCCCTGGTCTGTGGACTGATACTGGGCCATGGCATGCCAGAAATCAGTCCACTCAAACAAGCGAAGTCCCATCTGTGTGATGCAGGCAGCACATGAAACCACGCCCCCTCCGGTCCACAGAAAAACCTCTCTCCACAGAACTGTTTCCCAATGCCCAAAAGATTGGATGCCACTGATCTATAGAGTCATTGTTTATCAATAGAGGGAGCTATAACACTGAAAACCAGAGCAATTTCATTTTGCCCTCTATTGATAAAAAAAAGAACTGCAATCTATGTTGGGGAATAAATGACTATTATTAAACCAAATAAAAGAATAAAATAATATTTCAGGAGAAGAAAAGTGATCATCTTTACTTTAATACATCTCAGCATGCCTAGTAAACCCAATTTTTCTCATCTCCTTTAATTTAGTCTTCCAATCTTTGTCATGTTTGAAAATACAATCTGGGTCTATTCAGAATATTTGGGAGCAGTAATCAAACATAAGTTATTGCTCTATACTCATCTTGGAACTTTTTAATTTGTCAAAGACTCATTAGAACTGATGCAGCAATATCATAAACATTCCAGGTACACAGTAAACTTGAGTAATCAGACCCTAATATTTTGCCATATGATAAAGGTATCATTAGATGTATATAAAAATAGTTCAGCTCATATTAAACACTAGAAGATAATTACTCAGATAAAAAGATCTTTATTAGCAGATATGAATATTTATGTAGCCCTGATAAATGGTACATTAATAAGTGGATGAAAATAGCTACGAGTCTGTGGATAGGAATAAATGTAGAGAAAATGAAAACAGCATCACTGATAGCAATAAATGAATCAATTTCACAGAGATATTTTAAAGTGATACATAAGTAGTTGATTTTATATGGAATGGAGAAACACCAAGGATGCTTTAGCAGCCTCTGAAAATTTGGTAGTATAGAATGCATTGAATATTTTTTTATAGAAGCTAAACCAACAATTTCAGTATTATAAATGTCTACATTTTTAAATAAAACTAGAGCTAGAGGAATGGAATATAGAATTGAGCTATCTTATATTATCAAACCAATGGTCCTAGAAATGTTAAGGGTGATTACAATTTAAAAACTAATTCATCAAACAATTTTTTTAAAAATATTCATGTCTATTAAGTTCCTCAACAGTTCTTTAAATTCACTAGGTCTCCATCATAGATCTTTCCATATTGGGGACCTAATGAATTTGAAGGTACGTTAGTTATTATTGTTTTGATTGTTTCTTTCCTTTCAGATATATTACTATATATTACTATATATATTACTATATATTACTATATATATTACTACTGAGAGCAGGCAGGGTCTTGGAAGGAAAAGTTTAAGGATGTTATTAAATTTTGATTGATTGATTGATTATTTGCTATAAATCATTAACAGCAGTTCCATGGCCTTTTTCTAGGGAGAATGAAAAGTTTACATTAAAACTAGAGGGGTTCATGTTGACTGGAAAGTATTGGCTATTTAACCAAAAATTTATTATGATCTTCCAGACTCTTACTTGGATTATAGGCATGAAGCTTATTATTTTACTATTTTGTTTGGTATAATGAGGATCTCAATAATTTTGTTTGCATTGATTCCAGTATATCCTTCTTCACATAGATTACCCCACTTGTGCACCGTATAAGATTTGGCCAATGATTTACAGGAATTAATTATCCTCTGCTTATGTAAAAGGACAGTTCAGAAGCAGTTGAAAGTCTAAGGCAGTCGTTCTCAACCTTCCTAATGCCGCGACCATTTAATACAGTTCCTCATGTTGTGGTGACCCCCAACCCCCTATCCAGCTGGCCAAGGAGGGGGGGCAGGAAAGTCGCTACGCCATTTCTCTCCCTCTTTCTCTCTCTCTTTCTTCTCTTTCTTTCTCTCTTTCCTCTCTCTTTCTCTTTCCCCTCTCTCTTTGCTCTTTCTCTCTTTCCTCCCTCTTTCTCTTTCTCTCTTTCCTCTTTTCCTGTTTCTCTCTTTCCTCTCTCTTTCTCTTTCCTCTTTCTCTCTCTTTCTCTTTCCTTCTCTCTCTTTCCTCTCTCTCTTCTCTCTCTCCCTTTTTCCTCTCTCTTTCCCTCTTTCCTCTCTTTTTCTCTTTCCTATCCCCCCTCTTTCTCTCTTTCCTCTCTCTTTCTTCTGCTCCCCCCAAGGCACTCTTCTTGTCCCAGTGCCTGCGTGAGCTGCCTTGGGGACAGCAGGAGGAAGAAGGGGAGGAGGGCAAGGAAGCTGCCACCAGCGCCGGGCCCCAGGAGGAGGCTCTCCTCTCCTACCATTGCTGCATCTCTTTCTTCCTTCCCAGCACGCTGGACTCCAGCACGTCTTCCTGACCAGCGGGTTCAATGGTCGGGCTGGCTAGGGATCACAGGGGCTGGTCTCCCTTGGGCCACGGCTTGCGGGAGGGCTGGAGCCTCCAGTGGCAGCTCCCAGCAGGGATCCCGGGGCTTCCCTGGGTGGCTCCAAGCCACGAGGTCTTGGCCACGCTTCTCCAGGGGGTGGGGCATCCTGGGCAAAGGGCCAATCAGGAGCCCTGCAGGAGGTAAGTCCGCCTGAAAGAGAGAGAGAGAGAAAGAGAGAGAAGGGAAGTGAAATTGCCTCTCTGTCTCTCTGCAAATGGCGGAGGAGGCCATGCAGAGATGGATACAGTTCCAAAGACCATCGGGAAATATGTGTTTTCCGATGGTCTTAGGCGACACCTGTGAAAGGGTCATTCGACCCCCAAAGGGGTCGCGACCCACAGGTTGAGAACCGCTGGGTCTAAGGGCTAACAGCGCTGCACAGTTCTGATGCATATTGCAGGTTCTTTTAGACTAATAACCATCCCAAGGTATTTAAATGTAGCAGCCTCTCTGTTCCCTTCTACTGTCCAAGATTGTTGGATAGCTCTCTTAGCAAAGACCAGAATTTTAGATTTCTCAAAATTAAGAACTAGTTGATTTTGTTTGCTGTATCAAAATATTGCTGGCATTGCTCTTTTCAGGGATTTGTGAAATTATAGCAGTAGCGTCAGTGTAGAGCAAGGCAATTTTGTTATTTTATCTACAATTTATGTAGATGGACTTTAGCATACTCAATGGTCTCTAAATCAACTACAGGTACAGTGGTACCTGGGTAGTCAACTGCTTTGAAACTTATTGAATTTGATATTCAATGAATTTTGATGTGAAAATTTTGTCCTGGTACTCATGATTTGTTTGGTACTCATCCCACAAGCTAGAACTTGTCAGTATCAGCTGCTTTGTGACTCAGTATGTTATTCTTTATGGGAAAAATTTGTTTGTTACTCATTGTTTTTGGTACTCATTGTGCTTCCTGGAACCAATTAACAATGAGTAATTTATAACACCCCAAC